GTCGAATGTATGAAAGATGATATGTCTTGAGCTCTGTAATGTTTTGAACAATCAATTAAAAAAAAGAAAAATAATTAAGAAAACTATAAAGCTGTGAAAGTATTACAACAGAGACCCCAATAGACACTAAGCATTAGACTAGTAGGGTAAGAGGTAATTTTCAAAACACAGAAGTGTACCTATTCTTTCAGAATTTCTGGAAGAGTTATAGTATACTAAATACTGCCATTGATTTCTTATTTTCTTTAGTGAGTATCAGTTGAAATAGCTATCATATAAAGAATGGGAAATCTGGAAGGCACTTCAAGAGCAGAAGGAAACAGCAGCAAAGTATGCTATAATGTGGAACAAGTGAGGGAAAGCCAGAAAGAACATTTTAGATCGTCCAAGCCTCTCCTTTATAAGAAAGACAGGCCTTGATTTCTTACATAAGAAGCCAAATTCAGATTTAAATCGGATCATCTCAAAGTCATTCCAATATTCTTTGCAATTTACCATGTATATAACAAAGAAATCTTGAGAGTCAAGAATATTCATATTTGTTCCAAAAAGATAATTTGGAGCATTCCTAGTAATTAAGTATGGAAAAGAAGAAAATGAAGGAAGGAAGGAAGGAAGGAAGGAAGGAAGGAAGGAAGGAAGGAAGGAAGGAAGGAAAAAAGGGAGGGATGGATGGATGGAGAGAGAGGGAGGGGAAAGAAAGAGAGAGAAGGAGAAAGAAGGAGAGGAGGAAGGAGATTTAGAAAGGGAAGGGAGGGAGAGAGACAAAGGAAAGGAAAAGAAATAAAACAGATTCTTATGTGGTGTAATTAGTATATTTTTTAAAAAAGTTGAAAGGGTAGACATTTAAAAACAAATTATGTTTCTGAAGCATATTATGACATCTTAAATATATCATTGTGTAATACAGACTCATATTCGAAGACTTTTACTTAGAAACACTTATTATCAAATTAGCATGAATGGCTTACTATGGTTTTCTAAAAGTTTAAAGATAATTCATACAAGAGTTTTCTCTATATGATTAAAATTTATTCCTACTGGAGAATTCTTTCTCCTATGTTTTTTTGGCACAACATCACTGAGATTTTTTTTAAACTTGGAAACAGGAGGCAAGAAAAAAGTCTTCAATAATTTCAAGCCAACCCTTGCCCCTGTGGACAGGTAGTTTGTTTTATTGCCTCATTATTAGTATATTTACTTTTGAAACCAAGTCTAAAGAAATTTATGGTATTCTTCATTGTCAAGACTGATAATCACTGAAACATACTAGTTAAGGATGAAAACCAAGAAATTAACTTTGCTCATAGAATCTATCAGCAGGATTACCCTGGAACATGGAGATTAGGAATGGAGGACAATAGTTTTTGTCAAACAAGCATATAGCTCAATTCTCCCATACAGGATTCCATGGTAACTCATACATGAATCATCATTTCAGCTGTATTGTCTTTGTATTCCTTCCTGTTTTTAGCTAGTAAATACTGTTTAACATTCTAATTTTTTTTAGAACTAACCCTTTCCATAATTGAGGACATTTTACTAAAGCATCAAAGAGTTCTGTTATATTAAAAATTTCCCTAGAGACTTTAAAGTAATTGCTTTGAAATTGAAAAATACATATCATCTTGCTATCTAAATTCTTGAAATTAAACCATTGAAGAGGCCAATCCAGCCTACAATTACATGCGAAACCAAACAATCTGATCTTTCCACTGAAATGAAAGACTAATAAAATATACCTGTGAAGCTTGAGAGTGACTGTTCCATAAACAGTGGCAAAACCAAGAAGACGGACCCATCTTAGGAGAATACAGCGAAATGTACTTGGCTCAAAGTACAAAATAACAACCTGTAGGATGAGAACACAAAGAAAGAAAACTTCAGGATCAGCTGATGACCCACAGACTAAAGTTAATATTTCATAACCTGATGTTTTGTACATCTGAGGTTTATATAAGCACAAACTTATTTGAATAATTCTTCAAAATGTTACTTTAATCACTCATTGTCCAGATTGAAAGACTACAGTCTCGACTTCAAATTGTTTTTTTACTTCAAAATAAAATATAAGTTCTTTATATGCAACATTGAGGAGTTTCTATTAATAGAGTTTCTATGTCTCTAGTAGTCCAAACTTATCCTCTTTTTACTTCCCAACATAGGCAATCTAGGTGACCCCCATTGCCATTCTCCACCACACCCTTGCTTATTCCCACCTACAGTACCTTTCTGCTCTCTGAGGTAGTCCTAAGATTCCTAAGATCACCTCAGACTGCACTCCCTATAAATAATCCCTCATTTCATTTTTTTTTTCTTCATTTGAACTCCGGGGGATCAAAACTAGGGCTTTGTGCATGCTAGGCAAGCACTACCAATGAGCTTCATCCTCAGGCCTTATCTTCATTTTATTTTGAGACAGGGTCTCACTAAGTTGGCCAGGTGGGCCTTGAACTGTTCTTGCCTCAGTTTTCTGGATAGCTGGGATTATAGGAATAGCCAGCTCATTTTTACTTCATATTATTTGGGTCCATTAATTCACTAACTCCTTGCTTCTACTCCAGAATTTTCATTCAACAAGTAATAATTAAACATTTTGGGCATTGTGGTATGTGCTGCTGATACAAGATCCAAATTAGGAGGGAAATGAAATGTAAAAAGGGGTTTGAATTAAAGTAATATAGACACTACGGTGAATATCTGTCTAATTCCAGTAGGACTATTAAGGACTGAGTAGCTCATTCTAAATGACGATGGGGCATGGGACGGCCAAAAGATATTGCAAGGCATTCTATCACTTTTCATATGTTGCTGTTTGATTTTCAGCAAGGTCTTGTAAACTAAGAATTGGTTTGACCATGCCTAAAGAGCTCTGTGTAGCACTAAAGGATTAATGTTGTTGAAAAATGCAGATTTATGTTATTCTGGTAGAGCAGTTGGCCTGAACTGATTCTGTTGAAATCAAGACCATCACAACAGAAAATATAGCCACTGCCAAAACCCTATTGTTGTTGTTGTTGTTGTTTTGTACCAGAGACATAAATTCCCAGGGCCATACATACACACAGTACTTTAATTATCCAATTCACTAGGTATTGTAAAGATACAGATCAAGATTTGTCTTCAGAATTTTTCAAAAAAATGTTTAAATTTGGCAAAATTTCAAAAAATAATATAAATCCCCTTCTTTTTTATTATTTTCACAAAACAGGTTATATTTCTATAAATTTATATTCTGTTTTATGCTCATACATTTTAGACTTGTTTCTATAAATTTGTATTATATTTTAGCTCATATATTTTAGACATTTCAATAATACAAGAATCTAACACTAATTATGAGTTCTGCAAAGCAAGCTCTATTGTTTATTAAGGAATCAAAGCTGAAAACTGGAAAGAAAACTTAGGAGGAAAACAAAAGAGAAACCTTGGGGAATATACATGTTCCTTTTTATGCCTGGGAGAAATATAGTCTAGAGACTAGGAATCTAAAATAGAGAACACATAAAATCTCAAAAATTTCTTCTAGCAATGGCATTAGAAATAATTCTAGTACAGTGGACTCCTGAGACTGCAAAAATCCTGGGAGCTATTGTAAAACTTACCATTATTCAGTAAGCTATCTCTGAATGAGTAAATGAATGAGCAAAGGTGAATAATTATAATGCAGAATTCTGCAGATGTTTTAAATTTAAAATAAAGAATTAGTCCTCCACTGTTTGGGAACTACTGATATACTTTCAAAATTTTATCTCCGAGATGAAGAATTTGAGGGCTTGTTATTATAAGGGAAGACTGAGTTCAAAATAAATGAAATAATGAGCCATTTTTTAAGCATCCACGGATGAGGTATACATTTAAAAAGTCATAGAAAATGAACTCCTTGTGAACTTAATAAAATGTATTATTAAAAACAGTTCAGTAAATAATGAACAGGAATTTGTGCTTTGGGTGTACAGAAGCAATGTGGATGGTCTTATTTCTATTCTTTATTAATTGTGTGACTTTCACAAATTACTTAACATTGCCTCAGATGACCCATTTGTAAACAGACAAAAAAATTAATAATACTTCATTCTGGGGTTGTTTAAGTTTAAATGCAATCATGAGGGGTAAGAAAACAGTGCATGGTACTTTGAATATTCAATAGCATTGGCTAATGTTATTAAGAGATTTGATATATTTATTCTTTGTTCCAAAGTTACCATTTTGATTATAGTATAATTGTACCCCCTTATTTATTTATTCATTTATTTTTATTTGTTTTAATTAGTTACACATGACAGTACAATGACCTGACATATCATACATTTGAATCAGATGGGGTATAATTTCTCATTTTTCTGAGTGTACAGGTTGCAGAATCACATTGGTCATGCAGTCACATATATACCCACAGCAATAATAAAGTCTATTTTATTCTGCTGTCCTTCCTTTCCCCCCTTTCCCTCCTCTCCTCTCCCATCACTTCTCTCTACGCAACCTAATGTGACACACTTTTTTTTTCTTTTTCCTCACTTTGTCATACCTGTATTCTATATAACGAAGGGGGTCTCCTTCCATCTTTTGTGCAATTCCCCTTCTCCCTCCTTTTCCCTCCCACTCTCTTCCCTATCTAGAGGTAATCTTCTTCTCATACTCTTCCTCCCTACCACATTTTGAGTCACCCCCCTTATATCAGAGAAGATATTTGACATTTTTTTTAGGGATTGGCTAACTTCACTTAGCATAATCTGCTCTAATGCCATCCATTTCCCTGCAAATGCCATGATTTTGTTATTTTTTAGTGCTGAATAATATTCCATTGTGTATATAAGCCACATTTTTTTTATCCATTCATCAATAGTTTAGCTATTGTGAATTGTGGTGCTATAAACATTGATGTGGCTGTATCCCTGTAGTATGCTGTTTTTAGGTCCTTTGGGTATAGTCTGAGAAGAGGAATAGCTGGGTCAAATGGTGGTTCTATTCCCAGCTTTCCAAAGAATCTCCATACTGCTTTCCAAATTGGCTGCACCAATTTGCAGTCCCACCAGCAATGTACAAGTATACCTTTTCCCCCCGCATCCTTGCCAGCACTTGTTGTTTGACTTCATAATGGCTGCCATTCTTACTGGAGTGAGATGGTATCTTCGAGTAGTTTTAATTTGCATTTCTCTGATTGCTAGAGATGGTGAGCATTTTTTCGTGTATTTGTTGATTGATTATATATCCTCTTCTGAGAAGTGTCTGTTCAGGTCTTTGGCCCATTTGTTGATTGGGTTATTTGTTTTTTTTTGTTATTTAACTTTTTGAGTTCTTTGTATACCCTAGAGATTAGAGCTCTGATGTGTGAGGGGTAAAAATTTGTTCCCAGGATATAGACTCCCTATTCACCTCACATATTATTTCTCTTGCCGAGAAAAAACTTTTTAGTTTGAACTCATCCCATTTGTTGATTCTTGGTTTTAACTCTTGTGCTATAGGTGTCTTATTAAGGAATTTGGGGCCTGACCCCATGTGATGGAGATTAGGGCCAATGTACCCCATTATTTTAATGAATTATTTTATTTTTTTGTGGGGAGGATTGAACTCATGAGTGCTGAGCCACATCCCAAGCTCTTTTTTTTGTTGTTGTTGTTTTTAACTTTGAGAGAGGGTCTCACTAAGTTGCACAGGAAAAACTGATTAGGGTTCACAAATCATTGTGATTCTAATTCTAATTTTCGATATTTACTTACTTTGTGTAGGGAAGTAAAGGGTTTGGAAGCCATAAGAAATCTGATATGGATTAGATCCTCAAACTGGTTATAATTTAGTAGAGTGGACATTGCATGTAAATGATGAAAATAATGATATGATCATGCTAAATGTTTACACAGTACTTAATATATGCTAGTCACAAAACATTTTTACATACATGTAATCATTTCATCTTCACAACACTTATAAATTAGGGACATTTATTTTACAGAATTGAGGAATAAAAAATTTAAGTGATATCCCCAGGTCTCAAAGCTAGGAAGTGTCAGAGATAGGATCTGAATGCAAGTAGTTTGACTCCAGATTTCATGCTCAAAAGAAAACTAGGTGATTCTGTCTCTCAAAAGGGCTCCATTAGCAGGGAAGGTGACCAATGTCATTATCCTGTGAACTGTAGTGTAAGGATTTTAGAGGAGGGGGAAATTACTTTCAATAAAAACTAATGAAGTTCTACTAGGAGGGATGACATCTGAGTAAGAACCTGAGGAGGAACAGATTTAAGTTTGTAGGTAAACAGGAAAGAGGGAGGGAACCCAAAACAAAATATGTTGTGGGAAAGTTCCAGAGTGTGGAGAGTACAGTTACAGTCAGGACATAAAGAGAAATACTGGAAATAAAGCTATAAAATAGAAATGAGACTAGATAAGTGTAAGCACTGACTAATAGGGTGAGAAATTTATTTTATTCCATGAACATGAATTTTTATTCCATGAGCAATAGACACACCACTAAAATTTTTTGAGTTAAGATCAGAAGTGTGCACCAAGGAATTAATCCATCAGCAGCATGTCAAAAAATTAGTTGGGCAATGGAAAAGGAAGAGATTGAATGTGAGAGAACAGGTGGAAGGAAAAATAAAAGGACATGAGTTCATTATCTTCCTACCAAACTTTCTTTTCCCTATCTTATTGCAGTGTTATTCATTTTAGTCCCCAAATGTCAACTGCTGGGACATTCCTGATTACCTCACTGTTCTGCTTAAAACCTTTCAATGGCTCTCCAAATTCTTTGGGAAAAGTCAATATTATTTAAGATGGCTGGCAAGGCCCTTCACAATTGAATCCAGCTCATCTTAACTGTATCGTTACTTTCCACTCACATAACCATTCC